AGGAGTGGAGTTTGCAGGCTGATGAACAAGAGGATTAGAAGGTAGTGGAGATGTGATTGGTTCAGGAAAAGAAGTGGAATCAGAATTGGAAGTGAGAAAGGGAAGAATGGATTCATAAAATATCACATCCCTTGAAACAAAGAAGGAATGAGAGTTAAGATCAAACAGTTTGAAACCTTTGATTCCAGTGGGGAATCCAAGGTAGATACATTGCCTGCCCCTTGGATCAAACTTGGTCCTATCTCTGTGAAGAGTAGAGGCATAACAAAGAGATCCAAAAACCTTTAAGTTGGCAAGTGTAGGAGGTTTATTGTAGAGAATTTCATATGGTGATTTATTATCAAGAACTGAACTAGGAAGTCTGTTAATTAGATAAACAGCATGAAGAACACAGTCACTCCAAAATCTGAGGAGGATACCAGATTGAAAACGAAGTGATCTAGCCACATTGAGGATATGCTGATGCTTCCTCTCAACACGAGCATTTTGCTCAGGGGTTTCAACACAAGATTGTTGTTGTATAATTTCTCTATCTGTGTAAAATTCTGCTAAATGAAATTCTGACCTCTGATCACTTCTGATAACTTTGACAGATTTTGAGAACTGCCTTTCAACCATGATACAGAAGCTTTGTAGTAAATGACTAGCTTCAGACTTGAACTTCATTAAAAACACCCAGACAGCTCTAGAACAGTCATCCACAATTGTAAGAAAGTAAGAGTATCCTTCATGAGATTTAACTGCCAATGGTCCCCAAATGTCTACATGTACCAAATCAAAAACATCCACTGCTCTACTATTACTAACAGGAAAAGGAAGTCTTTTATGTTTAGCAAAGTGACAAGTCTGACAGTGGGAAACTACATTCTCATCACTAGGTAACAGGTGCTTCTCTTTGTCTTTGCCAGGATGCCCTAATCTCCAGTGCCAAAGGTGAATGTTTTGTGGTTGAAAGTTGTAAGAAGTGGCTGCTTGTGGTGTGGGAAGAAGAGGTGCTTTGGCCTTGGTGTGAATTTGGTATAGTCCATTACTCTGTCTTTCCAAACTAGTCCTTTTCTGGGTCACCAGTACCTGAATTTGACAAGAATAATATTCAAAGTGTAAGGATATTGGCTGGTCATTTGTTAATTTGCTCACTGAGATAAGGTTGAATGTGAATCTAGGCACTAGGAGAACATTCTCTAGGGTCAGGTCAGGGGAAAGTTGGACCTTACCTATATGGCTAACAACTACTTGGGTACCATTTGGCAGATAAACAAACTGATCTTTTACTGGAACAGATTCAGTAATCAAACTAAGATTGCAGGCAATATGATCAGATGCCCCAGTATCCAATATCCAGGAGTGTGAAAAAGAATCATTCTTTTGCTGAATGTATGAGGAAAGAATGTATGAGGAAAGAATGTAAGTAGGGAATGGAGAAGTGCTATTGGAAACAGAAATGCCAAGTGATTGATGGAAGGAGAAGCAGGTGGTGATGGTCGATGAGAAGGGACACTCTGGAGCAAGTACTTAAGCTTGTTCAGTTCCTCAGTAGAGAAGCTAAAACCATCCTTTGAGGATACACTGCGGGAGTCAGTGCTTAGCTTGGAATCTGAACTAGCTGTGTCACTCTCAGTGGAAGATTCTCCTGGTATGACTGCTGCAGCTACACCCCAGCCATTCTCAGCTTCTTGTTCTTCAATCTGTAGCATTCCTCCTTAGCTAATTGTTCTCCAATCTTATGTTTTCGTTTTGAGCGCTATTCGAACTGCTCTTTGCCACATTTGATAATTCGAGCCATCAAGAACCTCAGAAACAATTGCTTGAGTAATGTTTTCATTTGGGTTAATGTAGAATGGGTTACCAAATTGTAGATCTGAACGATCGTGGTTGTTGTTGTTGTTGTTGTTTTTGGAGGTGGAAGTGCTCATCGTCCCTGATTCCATCCTAGTGAAGCTGCCGAAGGGAATACCACCTTGAGGTGTATTCGGAGACGTACTAGCTGGTGATGTCGTCGCCATTTCTGCAGGTTACTGGATCAGGAACCGCTCTGATACCATGTGAAAACTAGCTTGGAGCTAGGGTAAGCGGAGAAAACGACGGCACGATGAAAATGGGAAACGCGCAAAGAGAAGGGTTCTCTCTGGCTTTCAATTTATACCAACGAAGAAGAAGAGTCTGGTTTACGATACATAAACAGTAGAAATGGAAAACTGAAATTTAAAATTACAGTAAAGGTAAAGCCACTTGGCACAGTCCCATTTGTCATAACTGATTCCGCCAAACGGTAAGTTCCAGAACTTCACAACGACGTTGTCTCGTTCCTTCACTTGTGCTGGATGGAAGGGAACCCAGAAATGTTTCCGTTTCTAGGTGAGGTTTCTTCTTCTTCAAACGTGATGTTGCTATGCTTTTCTAGTTCACTTCTGCTGCAGAGCATCTTCTTCTTCTTCTTCTTCACTTAATAGGGCGAGCCCAACACAGTCGGGCTCCTGCACGTGCGGACATTCTTCAACCAGGGCTACAACGACGATATCAACGGGGTCGCTTGAGCTTACTCCAACGACGGCCAAGGCATTCACCGGTTCGAGTTCGCGGCCTGGGAGTCGTACGACGAGAAGATGGCGTCCAAAGAAGGTGAGATCCGGCAGCTGAGAGCGTCTAACGCGGCGAATGTGAGTGCTAAAGACGTCGAGATCCGGCAGCTGAGAGCGTCTAATGCGGCGAATATGAGTGCCAAAGACAGGCAGATGCAGAAGCTGAGAGCGTCTTATGAGGAGAAGATGAAGGCTAAAGATGATGAGATCCAGAAGCTGAAATCCCAGGGCAAGGGAGGCGGCGGTGGCCAGTGATGAGTGTCTGCAAGCTGATGAGATAGTGGCGGAGCTGCGGATGGAGATAGCGGAGCTGAAAGTGCAACTGGAAGATGCGTGTGGGGAGATTGATGAGTTGAAAGCAGCATCCGGCTAGTGATCATGGCCTAATCGTTGTCTCATCGACGACATAAACTTGAGTGTCTAACATACCAATATAGTATTTACTGTCGTTGTTGGTTTACCGCGACAACAATTTATCGAAAATTCCAAATTTCTACTAAACTTTAACGGAATTGTAACTTGATTTCTTTTTAACAGATATATAATAGGTTTTCACAAGTCGCATTGCGTAAAATATAATAAGCATTACATAATAGTTGCATAATATATATGTGCTTATCTTATGTAATAGTTGTTAAATGGCATTAACCTTGCGTTATGTAATATGTTCAATCATTACGAAATGTTTACATAACACTTCTAATTTAACTGTTACGCAAGAAATAACCGTCATTTGGTAACCTTTACGTAATAGATGTATATTTACGTAACAGTTGTAAATTGTCATTATGGAAGCCTTAGTAATAGATGGTCCTTTTACATAATGAATATTCAAAGTTACATAATATGTTAAGTCATTAGGGAAATCCTACGTAACACTTCAATTTAACTGTTTTGTAAGAAATTACCTTCGTTTCATAACCTTTACGTAATGAACATGTATTTTATGTAAAAGCTGTAAAATATCATTACGGAAGTCTTACGTAATGAACATGTATTTTATGTAACAGTTGTAAAATATCATTACGGAGGCCTTATGTAATGAACATGTATTTTCTTATTATTCAAGGACTTTGTTGTAGAAATAACCGTCAATGATAACGAAAAGTATTTCGTTGAAAATAAACACAAAACATCAATGTAAAAATGTCTGACTTCAACATTATAAATGACATCAAGCTTTTAATAAAGATATTAAAAATCATTAATAACGAATGATCAAGTCACTAATAAGGAAATAGATTTTTCTAATAAAAAATATTAATAATATTCAGATGCAATGTTTAATGTCAAATAGCATTAAAAACGCATTAATAAGTAACATGTGTTTCATGGATAATGCATCCAAAAAATTTTGATAATGATAGCAACTAATGATTGTTAAGTACCTTACTAGATATTATTAATATCTTATTTTTCAATCATTGATAATGCCTATACACACCTATTAATAACGATACCAACTATGTTACTAACTTAGACTGAAAGATTAATAACCATAGTTATATCATTAAACGTAAATTCACTTTTGCTAATGTCATAAACAAACGAATACCTAACAAGTATGCTTCTTGATAATGACATTTGACAAAGTTACAAACATAAACAAAAAAACTATTAATAATTCAAATCACTAAACATAAGCAATGTTACAAATGAAATAAAATTTTGCTAATGGTTGTATTGTGCTTAGAAAAAAATATTGATAATAGCACTTCAAATGATTACAAATCATTGCGAACCAAATTGATAATACGATGTAATAGTAAATAAACTTCAAGTACCAAAAAATTGAAAACACAATTTCACTTTTGCTAATGTTACAAACAAAACATATACATAAAAAGTTAATAATGTCAAATAAAATTATTAAAGAACATGTCGAACAACATTAATAATAACACAAACGAATACCTAACAACGAAAAATCCTAAACCCATGCAACGAATAGCCCTAATGATGATTCAATTTATAAATATTGATAATGTCATTACAAAATGTTAATACTAATCAGAAGTTGCCAAGATGTGAGAGAGATATATATTTTAAATTACAAATTTCCATTTTAGAAAAAGAAAATTATTAAATTCGGATTTTATTAAATATTAAATAAAATTAATTTCATATTCCTTTTTAATTTTAATGTAGAGAGAGGGTTATGGAAAAAATCATGGGAGGAGAGAGAAAGAGAATCATTAATTAATTATATTTGCATAACCCCATTTACTCTTAACTACCTATTAGCTACTAACCCCCATTAACTACCTAATCCGCTATCTTCCAATAAGAAGGTTTTAAGATTCGTCATAAGAAATGAGGCTTAAGGACTTGAACTCAAGCCGTCCTCGACACAGAAAAAGTCTCTTCTCGAGAAGTTGTAAGAAAGAGAAAGCAATCCATCCATTGGAGACCGAGAGAGAGATGTCGATGGTTGCTGGATTGCCGAAATTCGTGGTACTGAAATCCAAGTCTGACGGGAAATACCTGTGCACTACCAACTGGAACGACGACTCCTTCGGGCCGTATGTTAACGGCCTGGGCTCCAAACGACACCTGGACCCCGCTCAGCCTGTTCGTGAAGCTGGAGGCCGTCCCGTCCGGATCCGGCCCGGCACAGGTGATCTACCTCCGCTGCTGCCTGCCACAACAACAATTTCGTGCAGCTTGGAGAACAAGTACGGCGTATCCTGGATGTCCGCCACAACCAACGGGCCGGGACGAGAACACGGGCCCGGTCCACCTCCACCCTCTTCCGGCCCATCTTCCCGCAGGGCGAGCCCAACACGGTCGGACTCCTGCACGCTAGACCAAGTGCCACGTGTGGACATTCTTCAACCAGGGCTACAACGACGACATCAATGGGGTCGCTAGCGACTCCAACGACAACGGCGACGGCATGCACCGGTTCGAGTTCGCGGCTTGGGAGTCGTACGACTTGTCAAGAAGATAAAGAAGATGGAGCAGAGGTCCATGAATGTGAAGCAGCTGATGTAGAGTTGGAATGGGCACATCGAGCTTCAGCTTGAAGAAGACAGTGAAACGCATCTAAGGCTTGAATACGATTCGTTGTATGGGAAACGTTTCGAGCATTCACCTGAACGCATCGTCGTATTAGAGTTAGCAGAGTTAGTTTTATCCTTTGCGTTTTATTACTCACTACGTGTCAAGGTGAATATATATTTCTGTTTATTTTACCGTTGGACACAGTAAAATTTGACACTGAGTATAAATAAGAAGAACCTTGCAGCTCGTTGTTTTTGCGGTTTTTCGGTTAAACATTTGCCTCTCTAGATATTTCTAAATGGTATCAGATGTCCTACTACTCCATCTACCAGTAGTGGTACTTCTTTTGGCAGAGCTTTCCAATTCGGTAGCTACACTGAGAATTAGATGCATAGTGGCAGAGGTGAGATCAAGTTTGACAACCCATTCTATCTTAATCACAACGAGAATCTGTCTCAGCACCTCCCTCATAGTTTCTGAGAGGGCTCGACACAAGTTCTCAGTCACTTGTTAGAGCATATATTAGCCCACACTATTGGCCCATGTACATGCAGAACCCACGTTAGTCATTGGGCCTTTATTGTTGAGGGTGTACGGAGGAATAGGTTTGGCCGAGTAGGGTTTTTCTCCTAGCTTGGCAGTATATATTGTAAGTTGTATCTCTTGGACGGGTTAAGGAATTACAGACGATAGCTCGGAGAGTGTTAAAGCTCTCCCGTGGATTAGTCCTGAATATTTCAGGGATACCACGTAAATCTGTGTCTCATCGTATTTCGTTTCACTTTCGATATGTCTAACATGGTATCAGAGCCATCTGCCAGCGATTCTGATCGCCTCGGTATTCGTCTTGATTTGAAGAACTATGCGGTGTGGGAGTTTCAATTCCGCATCTTTGTTGAAGGCAAGGGTCTCCTCCCGATCCTTGAAGGAACATCTCCGCAGCCGATCGTCCCTCCAGCTTCTGAACAGGCTGTGGAGCGCTGGAATATGAATAACGCAAGGGTGAAAACCTGGCTTTTGGGATCAATCGACCCTTCCATCGTGCTGGTTCTCCGTTTGTTCACCACCGCAGCTGAGATGTGGTCCCATCTCCGCGCGACGTACACCACCTCCAACACTGCTCGCCAATTTGAGATTGAAACTGAACTGGCCGCCTTGAGGCAAGGCGATATGGACATTGCAACTTATTACAACACATCGGTCCGGTTTGGACTGAGGAAGACCTCCTGTTAGCATCTTTGCGCTCTGCCGCAATTTCGGAAGACGTACGTGCTGAACGAAACCGATCCAGGCTGCTTCGCTTCCTGATGAAACTCAGACCTGAGTTTGAATCTGTTCGCTCCAATCTGCTCAACCGTGATGATCTCAAGTTTGATGGAGTTGTCGGCCTCCTGCTGCAAGAAGAAACTCGCCTTCGGACCCAAGAGAAGCTCGACATCCGACCTGGAGCTAGTGAGGCCGTGTTCTCGGCTGAAGCTCATGCTCCTTACGACACCACAGCTTACGCTGCTACTCGACCTCAGTTTCAGCGGCGGGCTCCATCAACGGAGCTGACCTGTAGCTTCTGCGACGAGAAGGGACATGTGCAAAAGCAATGCAAGAAGCGCAATCTGGTCGCACTGAGTCTGCTCAATCTCGTCCAGCCCCGAACTCCTTTGCTGTTCAGCCGGCGGAGCCTGCCTCTCCTGCCCTTTCCGCGGATGCTGTCGAGAAGCTCATTTACTCCGCGCTTCAAAAGTCTCTCCCTGTCGCCATTAACACAGCCTTTGCAGCTCTTCAAGTCTCAGGTAAAGCTAAACCTTGGCTCCTATACTCTGCTTGTTTTAATCATATGACCAGTGAGTCATTATCTCTACGTCATGTTCAACCGGTTAACAATCTACGACTACAAGTGGCCAACGGGGAGCATATTTCAGTTACAGGTGTTGGGTCTGTTCATCAGCCGCAAGTGAAATTAAATGATGTGCTTCATGTTCCTAAACTTCACCCTAATCTCGTTTCAGTGGGACAGTTAATTGATGATAACTGCTCGGTTTTGTTCGCACCATCTGGGTGTTTTGTGCAGGATCTGACGACGGGGAGGCTGATCGGAAGAGGGAGTAAGAAGGGTCGCACCTTTACATTAGAGGAGCTCTCGAGTCGAGGATGTCCATCGTTTCTGCGTCATTGTCTTTACCCCAGGTGTCTAGTGTGTCTCGGCCTAAATCTCTCTCGAGTCCTCCTATTGTTTTTTCTAGTCAGTCGGATAGTGCTTGGAGTCTTTGGCATAATCGGTTAGGTCACCCAAACTCAAGTCGTTTACAGTTGATGTTTAAACAACAGTTGCTTGGTAATAAATCGGTTGTTTTCTCTAATGCTTTGCCCTGTTATAGTTGTGTTGAAGCAAAGGCCAAAAGTATATCATTTCCCTCCAGTAGCACAGTCATCACTGAACCATTTCATTTGATCCACACTGATTTATGGGGCCCTTCTCCCATAATGTCACGAAATGGCTACAAGTATTTTGCTCTTTTTATTGACCATGCAACCCGTTACACGTGGGTCTATTTTCTCTGCCTCAAGTCTGACTTATATGCGGTAGCTACTGAGTTTTTGACCATGATTAGAACTCAATTTGGCAAAAATGTGAAGATCCTTAGATCCGATCCCGGCGGAGAGTTTAGCTCAACCCCGTTGCTTGCATACTATAAGGAGCATGGCATTTTGTGTCAAAAGTCATGCCCTGGAGTGTCGCAACAGAATGGCGTAGTGGAAAGAAAAAATCGCCATTTCGTGGAGTTGTCTCGTGCTCTTCTTATAGCTTCATCCGTCCCTACCCGGTTTTGGCCCGAGGCAGTCTCTACTGTCATTCGTTTGATAAATTACCAAGTAACTCTTGTTTTACAAAACCAGAGTCCGCATTTTGCTCTTTACGGCACTCATCCTGACTACTCTCGTCTCCGAGTGTTCGGGTGCCTATGTTTTGTCCTTCTTCCTCGTCGTGAGCATCATAAACTCTCTCCTAAAACTGTCCGTTGTGCTTTCCTTGGTTACAGTGACATTCACAAGGGTTACTTATGTAATGACCCCTCTCTAGGTCGCATTCGTATAGCGTGTCATGTCGTCTTCTTCGAAAATGTCATGTATTATGAGTCATCCCCTTCCGAGTCAGTTTCCTTACTCTTTTCCTCGACTCATTTGCCCTCTTTTGGTGATGACATTGATGATGATGGTGCTGAACTCCGTCCCGAAATGCCTCCCCACACACCAACTTCGAGCAGTTCGCTGGGTTCCGTGCCGCACTCGCCGACCAACTCCAGCGACTCATCATCCTCACTGTCCCCTGCTTCCTCCCCAGCGCCGACCAGCTCTTCCTCAGCGAGCAGCTCCACTTCAGCGCCGACTCCACCGCCACAGCCTGTTGCTCCGCGTCACTCTCGCCGTGCGAATTTTGGCCAGCCACCTGTTCGCTTTGGGGATTTTGTGGCCCATGCTGTGGACTCCTTTACCATCCCTACACGGTATTCTCAAGCCAAGGGCAATCCGGACTGGGACAATGCCATGACAGAGGAGTTTAATGCCCTCAATGCTAATAAGACTTGGACAATTGTCGATCGGCCCCCGCCAGAAGTTCCAGTTGTCGGATGTAGGTGGTTATATAATCTAAAATTCCACCCGGATGGTAGTCTTGAGCGTCACAAAGCTCGGGTTGTGGCGCAGGGATTCACACAGGAGTATGGGATCGATTTCGATCAAACATTTGCACCGGTGGCTAAGAAGCAGACAGTCCGAACCTTACTGGCGGTTGCTGCCCTCCGCAATTGGCCGTTGTATCAGCTCGACATTAAAAATACATTCCTTCACGGTGACTTGAAAGAGGTCGTATACATGGAAATTCCACCCGGTTACCCTCGTGGCTCCCCAGGACAGGTTTGTCTTCTTCATCGTTCCTTGTATGGATTGAAGCAAGCTCCTCGCGCTTGGTTCGAGAAATTTCAGCATACCATTCTGAGCTTTGGGTTTCAGCAGAGTCAAAATGATCCGTCGTTATTCACTAAGTCAACTTCTCGTGGCCGAGTTGTCTTGCTGATATATGTCGATGACATGATTGTCACGGGAGATGATGATACTGGTATTGAGCAGCTTAAGGCTAATCTCCGGGCAGCGTTCAGTCTTAAAGATCTCGGGTCCCTTTCATACTTTCTCGGCATTGAAGTTCACAGGTCTGACCGCGGCATTCTCCTTAGCCAACACAAGTATGTTAATGATTTATTGGAGGAACATAGATTTGGTGATTGTCGGCCGGTTCGTACACCCATTGAACTTAATCTTAAGCTGGGGCAAGATTCCGGTGAGCTCCTAGCTGATAGTCGGGTATATCGGAGTATTGTCGGCAGTCTCATTTACCTTGTCGCTACACGCCCGGATATTGCTTATGCCGTGCAGCTGGTTAGTCAGTTCATGGCTGCTCCTCGTGTTGATCACATGGCTGCTGTTCATCGGATTCTCCGATATCTCCAGGGGACGCGTGATGTTGGTTTGTTGCTTCCATCCTCTGGTGATTTATGCTTACGTGCTTACTCTGACTCTGATTATGCAGGCTGTATAGATACCCGACGATCTACGACAGGCTGGTGCATTCAGTTAGGTGATGCCTTTATTTCCTGGAAATGTAAGAAGCAAAACAAGGTCTCCAAATCGTCCACGAAGGCTGAATACCGTGCAATGTCTGATGCTGGGTCTGAGATGGAGTGGTTGCATCGTCTGCTGGGTGATCTTGGTGTTCACATTCCTTCTCCTATGGTCTTGCACGTGGATAACACCAGTGCAATTCAGATTGCTGTTAATCCCGTCCTTCACAACCGCACGAAGCACATTGAGGTTCACAT